GTCTCCTGACATGAACCCCATCGAAAACCTCTGGGCCATACTCGACCAGCAAGTCAAGAAACAACCAAAAAACCAACTTCCAAGAGCGATCTACTCCAAGTTTTGAAGCAAGAGTGGCCGAAAATCCCACAATTTAAAATTGACGAGATAATTCTCATGATGCCCCAAAGGATCAATTAACTCCACGAAGCAAAAGGAAGATCTACTAGATATTAATTAAATTATATCAATTCATGTGAATATGACTGAAAAATTTCATTTTTTCTGAAAAGGTGGTGTCTATTTACTTGTGACCACGCTGTGTAGTATAACTAATTGACATGCGTTGATCAAAGTGTGGATTGAACTAGACCTCCCTTGAACTTAGACTTCGATATTAAACAATTTTTGGAATACTAAGTTTGTTTATTAAAAAAGGAGTCCTATCTATATGACTCTTCCCCACCCTTTCAATGTTTATTTCTAAAATACAGTATTAAAGTAAGGTTAAACCTGAATCATAAGACTGCTGCATTCCACCATGAAAAACGTTCCTAGAAATATTTTTGTTGTGTGGTGGTGGCCATGGGAATGCAGAAGCTGCTTGTTCAAACTTCTTTCTCTTCTCAACAAAAGAAAGGCCTGCAGGGTCAAGTTCAGCACTGCTGGGAGAACTTTGGTCATCCTTTAGAAAAATCCAAGAAACATTGAATATATAAACCTTGTTATATGTAAATTTCTGGTCAAAAACTATATAAGAAAATCTTAAAAGTGAAGACCTTTCTGATGCTCAGAAAATTCTAAACATTTACTTCAAAGAAAATATTTATATGAAATAAGCAGTACAGTGACAATAAATATATATCCACCCTCTGGAACTGTCCTATTGTACAGAAGTGTAGTATTCACTTCAAAATTTGGTTAAAAGATAACAGCTTTAACTGAAGTATACAAGTTGTGTTTAGCATATCTTAGGTTTAATTTTCTTTGTTTCTAAGGAACAAGGAAAATCCCATATTACCATTACTGCAGGAGTGAAGCTGTTGTAGGTTGTATACTTTGTATTTCTAGAAGATGTAAGATACAAACCCTACTTAGAAACATTTCTAAGCAAAACTTGAAAACGCTATACCACTTTTAATGAAAGGAAGACTTTTTGTTTAATACTCTTGCTTCATCAAACAGTTCAAAATCAAGACCCAAAACACAATATTTGGCTAAATTTAGGTACTTGGGTAATCTTGAAAATTTACTTAGTCAAATCTCAACAAATTGAAAATCCTCTACACATAAAAAGTGTAACAACTTACAATGCTATAAACTATGCATAATAGTAAAAAATTTCTTTGTAGGTCATGCATTAAATGATAGTTTTATAATTCTCATAACTTTTTATTCTCATAATTTGTATTGTTAGATCCTGCATTGGATATTTGAATTTTGCCTCAAATAATTAGCATACCTTGGCTGTCTTGCACCTCTCAGAATTAGTTTCTTGGCTTCCCATGGGGTCAAGTAGCAAGTCCCTGCTGTTATCCAGCTGCAAATTTCCCAGAACTGGGGAGGAAACGTAGTTGAAAGAAGGAGAGGGAGAGGAAGTATAATCCAAAGAGGGTAATGGGGAAGGATTAAACCTTGGGCCAGCAGGCTGAAATGATTAGAAAGGAAAGTAGGAAGAGGTTTTGCATCAGTGAGCATCTATTAGTGCACATATAGTCTACTCTTAGTGATACAGCCATGCACAGCCAACAGCCACTAGTTACACTACAGATGCATAAAAATTTATATCACTGTATTACACAGACAATATTATATATATACATGAATACCAAACAGAGTTCATCTGGCAAAATGTTATTTTATGCTCAGTGCAGGACCTTCATACTACTAAGAAAAACATGTTCATTCAAGTAGAGAACACAAGCTCACATAATACCATAAGAAATCTAGAAGTAAAATGCAAACTATTTTGTTTCGTTTTTATACCTACAGAAATAACCTAGTAGTTGTAATGTGTAACAAACGTTGTCCAGTTTTTTTTATTTCTAACTTTGCAAGTACTGTGCAAGGGTATGATGCAAACGACGTGGCAGAAAAAAAAACACTTGGGTTGCAAGTACTGTAAGACTTCTACAAACATCACTTAGATTATTTTAGTATTACTAATAGCAAGCTATTCTCTAGACAACAAATATTCCTTCTTAATTTTTTTACAGGGTTGAAAGTAATCTGAACTGCATTAAAAAGGGTTTGTTTTTTGAAGTGTTGATGCCACACAAATAACTAGTTAAAAACTGGACCTTGGTGGTATTCACTGAAAGTAATAAAAAATGAAGATCAGTTACAGGAAGAACTGGACACATTATATCTTAAATTCTATACTACAATGATAGTGTTGGCTGAGTAACTAACAAGCCCTACTGGTACACAAAACAGTAAATTACAAAATAAAATTGGGGTTATAGTTTCAAGAGTTATATAAGAAGGAAGTTAAACAAAGACGTACATAAAAATCACAAATCTTTTATTATTTAAATAGACTACAAGCCACGACTATGTATTCTACAGGGAAAGTACTCGTTTATAACTTCTTATCTAAATGCTGCAGTGCCCTACTTTGAGTAGCAGTAGCACAGTACATTTAGCACAGCTTTAGGAGTTAAGGGGTCACTGAGAGGTGAGGGGGTTCAGAAAAATTTTGCAGGACCCTGAAGAAAGGTGGGAGAGAAATTGATTGAGAATGGGGGCCCATATACAAATCTTTTCCTGTAGCCCATGGAAGTTCTTGGTGACCCTGTCATTAATGACAGTTTTAGATCTGAAAAATCTCATAAAATATCAACCAAATAACAAAAGAACAAAAATTAGTTATATACAAGGTTTTTGAAACAGTTATTGGTGGGATAGTGCACTTATTTGGTACCAGCTTTTCACCCATAACAGAGATACATAACTACACACAACATTCAAATTACAAATACATTCAAGTTACAAAAAACAACAATAGATGGAGCTAGTATCACCTGCAATAAGACTTTGATTGGATGTATATGTAATTCAAATGTTGTACATGATTATGTTTCATTATTAAAGATGAAACATTGTGCCTAAGTAAATCTATTATCCAACCAATAACTGTTTATAGATATGTTCAATAATTAAGTGGCTATCTCTCAGAAAGATATTAAAGAAATTACTTATATGGTACAGAAACATATAATCTCATCATGGTCTATTTTACAAAGCATTCTATAAATAAATGTAATTTTGCATTCCATTAAAAATCATGATCCAATAATTTGAACCATAGCACTTCACTGCCTTAATTGAATTTTGAGAGAAACTCACTGAATTAGGTTGTTGCGGTTGGTTGACTACAGACTTCCTCATTACAATGGTGGTTGTTTTTGTCTCCTTGCCACTAGAGATGTTCTCACCATTAGTACCGTTTGATGTGTCTAGCGTGAAAGGTTGCACCAGCTGTTCTGCTGCTCGCACAACTTCTAACACTTTTTGATCAACTGTCTTTGCAACATGAGGAACAACTGCTTGTGACTAGGGAAATCATTATAATATAATGATATTGGTGTCTTGTTTTGTTATTAGCTAAGACTTATCTACTGTAAAAATACAATAAAAGACAGATAAAGGAATTTGGAAATGATCTGAGATGTTGTAAACTACACTTCTTATAGACAAAGAAAATTAGGCTGAGATGTTTCATGGGCTGAGGACAAGTAAAAGAGAGAGTGATGAAGCTGACATTTGTGGCTAGACGATATAATTTTGATGTTTAAATCAAACCAATGGAATCTCTTCATTAAAGTTAAGTAAGAAGACAGAGCCAAAATACAATGAAAATCTTTTATAGTGCTATTAAATAAATTAATCATCAAAATATTGTTCAAAAGGCCTACAATACCACTGGTATATCGTATTCAACAAGAGAAAATGTTACTGTTATAAAGTGTGATTGCTAAACTTTACTAAAGTAATGAAACACCTAATAACTAACCAGAAATTGTTACACATTATTTTAACCCACTAGAAATTTATTCTTTTTTTGAGATATGATGTAATAAAGAATACAAGTATTTGTGTACACAGTAACAAATTAAAAAACAAAGTTTACAGTTAAAAACTCTGTATGAACGACCTGAGGTATACAAGCACCACAAAATTACAAATCACTATTTGATGCACAAAAATTTACATTAAAATTGTCAATTACATACCATATGTATACCGGTGTATAAGACACACCCTTATTTTGAAGACAAAGTTTTGGGGAAAACTTTACTATACTAACTTTACTAACTCCATTACTATAATTCATTTTCTTATTATTTAGGGAGCATTATAAATAGTTATGTTTTTAAAAGAAAAAAAACGACTATTGTTATAAATAACGCATTCAATTGAACTAAAC